GCCAGCCACCTCTGCATGCCCCCTGGCCACAAACCCTGTGCTGTCCAGATGTCATCATCGGTAGGACCCACCTGGTTGAGGTGCTGCTTTCAGAAAGGACTTTTCAGGCCTTCCAGTAGGACAACCCTAGACCAGTGGTCCCCAACTTGTGGGTCACCACCCCTTTGGAGGATGTACATCAGATATCCTGCATATCAGATCTTTACATTACAATTCATAATGGTAGCAAAATTACAGTTATGAAGTAGCAATATAATAATGATTTTATGGTTGGGGATCACCACAACATGAAAAACTATATTAAAGGGTTGCAGTATCAGGGAGGTTGAGAACCACTGGCCTAGGCCTTTCTGGCAAATATCCATTAGAGTTGTGTCTGGAACACTTAGGCCCTTTTGTAGTTTTCCCATTATTTGGTAATTTAAAATAAAGGAAAGAAATCTAGGTGGTCTCAAAGCTCTAAGCCATGGAAACAAAGACACTTATAAATAAGTTGAGAGTACCTCAAGAAAAACAAAAGGGTTTATGTCACAAATACATCTTCTGTTGGTCATGGTGTGAGCCTTTCCTTTTCCTTTGATGAAGGGCTAGGGTACCATTTTTCATTTTTTGTTCAGTGACTTCCACTGGTCAACCCTGGTACACATATTTCAGAGGGAGGGTGACTGGAACCATCCTCAAACTTCAAACCTACATTTCCCAACCAAAAAATGAAGGGACAGGGACGAGGGTTGTTGGCACTGTGAGAAAGGGTAGCAGTAGGGCAGCATGTCTGCTCTCTGCGAAGCTCCTCCAGGTTGTACTGTCTGGAGGAGGGACATGCAGTAAGAGCAGCTGGAATACAAGTGTCTGTTCACAGGACTGTCCCCAGTCCCCAAGGCCAGCCAAGCTTTTGAGACCCTGTTCTATGAATTTTCTTGTATGATTTCTGCTGCTGTGATAAAAAAAAAAAAAAAAAAAAAAAAACACTGTGACCCAAAGCAACAAGGTGAAGGGCAGGACTTACTCACTTTCCATTTCCAAGACACAAGCCATCATTGAGGGAAGTGATAGGGCAGGAACTCAAGTAGGAGCTTGAAGCTTGAAGCTTGGTTGTTACACAACCCAGGACCACCTACTTAGGAATGGTACCACCCACCATGGGCTGGACCCTGCAGCACCAATTAATAATCAAGACAACCCCTCTACTCCTCCACAACAAATCTTGACAATTCCTCAGTCCAGGCTTTCCTCTCAGACCCTAGGCTGTCCAACTGACTCTAACTAGGGCAAGTAACTTCATTCTGACTTTTCCTTTTGATCAAAGCAAGATGCCCCACAATAACACTCTCTCAACCAGTTTAAGATTAACACAACATTACAACCACACTAGAGATCTTGCATGGATCTGTAATAAGTAGGCAAAAGACTCTAAACATTAAACATCTCTGAAACACTCAAGCTCAGCACAGGGAGAGGTTCCCCACTGAAAGACTGGCAGGGACCTCCTGCACCTACATGCTGCCAAGTGCTAAGGCACTTGCCCTCGCTACTAGGGGAGGTGAGCCTGGGACTTGGGTGCGAGCTAAATAAAGGCACTTAGGAACAGAGCTGGGATAACAGATACAAGACCAGTTGAAAGAGGCATAGTGGACATGCACATTCATCCTCACTTGTCACTCTGCCCCAAGTTCTACAAATCAACATCCCTTCCAGGGGCAATCTGGCTGGCCAAGGAATGTGAACAGGAGCAGGGCATCCTCTCTTTCCATGATATGTCTGCCCAGCTCTTGCTAGTTCTTTTCTAGGAAGATGGTGAACACAGACTATCATCTTGAGAGGCTAAGGGAGGCAACCTGAAAAATCAGCCAGAAGCTGTCGAGACTGGGACAATCACTTGAAGTAGAGGAGACTTCATAAACACAATGGGATGTCAAGACCTAAACATTCACAGTAGGATCAAAAGGGTGGTAACTGAACCTTGACCTCAGTCAGGTAGGGTAAGAGCTGGCTGCTCTTTCCTGGTGAAGATGAGATCCAGCCAATGGGTGGGATGAGCAGAGGCAGGAAGAAATGGCTAGGGCAAGTGTCTACCATAGAGAGACTCAAAACAGCTATGTCTCCTGTGATACACGGAAGTATGTCCTTCTATTTGCAGAAGCATCAAAGCAGCCAGGAGAACTGTGCTTGTGATGACAGTGGCCTCTTCCTTGTCAACAGTGTGATTGGGCAGGTGGCACTCAGCACTAAGGAGACAGTTTACTCTCTGGGGTCCCCTGTGCACTGTGGGGTGATCAGACTATTTCTAAATAACTGCATCTTCAACTGTACCACAATCCCAGCCTCTACAGAGTATCCCACTTATCTGAGAGTCAAACAGATAAGTGAATGATGTGACTTCTAGCGCTAGTAATGGAGCAATATCCCATGGAAGGAGCTAGGGAGGAGAGTAAAGGACAGGAACTCAGGTGTGTGCAGCAGGGAAGGAAGGTTAGCTTTGTCTTCTTCCACTTTCTCCCTGTTTTAGAACCATAAGCTATGCTAATAGTCCTGCTCAGGAATTCAAGTCATGGTCTAAGATCAGAGTACCCCTGGTCATACTCCTTGAATTTTATGAAACATAGACCACAGCCCATTCCTAAAATGGGCAATGTCTACAGTTGGGATTAACAGAGAAAGAATATGTAAACCCTGGGGAGGGATGGCATGCAGCTCTGGGCCACTCAGAGAAAAACATGAGAAAGAGCTACAGAGTAGCTTAGGAGTGAAAGACAACGCTGTTCTCATGCCCACTTCATAAACACAGGTACAGAAGGCCTGCCTCTCTATGGGCTCCAGCTCAGCAGCCAAACCCAGATCTCTACACATGGCTTACAAACATCTACTAACAGAACTACCCTCAGCAGAGAAAACTCATGAGCTACTGACTGTCTTTGTTGCTACTAAACATGCATCCTCGAGGGCTGCTCAAAGTCACCTTCCCAACTTCGAGAAAGAGAAGTCCTGCTAGCCAGCATGTCAGCACTTCCTGGCCTATGGCCTACATGCTCCAAGAGATGCCAGTGCAGGACAGACCACCAGGTAAAGGAGAAGCACCTTTCCAGGTAAAATCACATGAGACCTTTGCTTCTTTACCCTCTCAGACTGTCTTCCTGCTGTGCCTCTTGGTTGATAAATACACGACCGTGGTGCATATGGCCAGGACAGAACAGCTAAGGGTAGTGTTGCATGGCAAGAGGACACAGGGCGGGGTCTGCACTGTGGAGACATAGACACTTGGAAGCTGGTCTAGGCAAGTCCAAGAAGAAGACAAAGAGCCCAGGCAAGGGACTAAAAAAGCCTGTCATCCATATAGGAACTCGGAGTATCTGGGGACTCCTGGAGCACAAAGTGCAAGACAGAAAAGACAGGTGGGTAAATTTTAGAAGAAGAAACTATGCTGAGTCCTACTTAGGGAGTAGAACTTACACCCAAGACCAAGCACCCCTGGCAATGGGTGAAACCCCGAGTGTTGATGCCTATTGCTAATGGCAAATGTGAAAGAATTATACTACATCTGCCAAGGAGTAGCTGGCATCCACGGCCCTTATTTTAAGACAAAGCAAAGATCCCGTATGGTTCTAAAATGGCTGCTATAACAAGATTTTCCTTGTTCTTTTTAAGCTCAGGACTTTGGAAGAATTTGTTCTCCTTTTCAAAATCTGAGCCGTCTTTGTACAATGACCTGTAATGTCAGGGGTGGATGGTTGGATACTAGGTGACAAGGCACAGAAAGCCATTGTGTTATTTATTATATATGTAATCAACCAAGAGGCCCAGAGGAACTGGTGGGGGAAACTGGGGACTAGGAGAGACCGACAAAGGCAGCAAGAGAAGATGCTGGAAGTCAAAAAGGGAGAGGGACTGCTAGGCCAAATCATGTCTGCATTCAGAAACACATACTTTTCCTAACCCCTCGTGCTCTTACCTGTTCACACAAGGACTACCAAGCCATTAGGCTCTCCCTGGTTCCAACTCTGTGGTCCCAATGAAGCAAGACCCTGCCCTGTTGAGAGGGTATGCAGCTGCCACTCAACACTACCCATGACAGTGGTTACACTACAAACCCACAACAGCCTCTGCTAAGTAAGCCCCCTCCTCTTAGGCAGTGGCCAGGAATCTCTGATCCCAATAAACAACACTCCATAAAGTATGTCTCTCCTGCTACTAAGAAAAGAATGAATGATGAATACTAGATGTCTCCTATGTGTTACATTGTCATTAAGAATTTACACTCACTTGAATGCACTATTTCCAAGTATCTTGCTAAAAGTCACCAAAATTACAGATTATAAAACAAGCTGAGGACATGCCCAGCATCCCCTGACGACTTCCCAAGTTTGGTTATGGGTCAGGTTAGCCATATATCACACTGTTTTTACTAAGAGAGGGAAGATGTTTGGGGCAAGAAACAGAAACTAAAAAAGCCCAAATGACGGCTAATAGCATCCTACACCTCTAGTTCACCTCATCCCATCTATCTAAAAAGGCATACACTGTCTCCTTCAGCTTACTCAGATCCAAGAACTACAGACACATTTGATGATATATGGGGACATTACTAATCCCTAGACCAACTCCAGGACTAAATTCAAACAAAAGTCTATATATAACCTAATACTTTATGGATGAAGCTAGACACAAGAGAAACAGCGTGAGTATGAGGGCCACAGATAGCAAAACTAATTGGGGATAGTGAGCAACAAACAGAGACTTTCACAGATGGAGGACCTGGGCGAGCTTTTGAAGGGCTTTATGCCACTTTGCTGACTCGGTATAAGTGAGAATCCACTGAGTTCTATGCATACAGTATTCACACTTTTCCATGTTAACCATCAACCCGAAGTCCTTGATACCTCTGCACTGTGGTGAGCAGACAGGTGGACTCCCCCCACTGTCTAGCTTTCACCATCCCCTTCTCAGGGTTTGCAACTCCAGAATGGGACCCGGAAGCACTCCAGATGGCCCAGGCTCACACTTACCGGCTGCAGCCCGTCCTCTTGTCTCTGGCTCTGGTTGGGGCGATTGATAAAGGAGCGTGTGGAGACTTTGTAGTGGTTCAGCAGGCACACAACAACCACTACCATCACCGTGACCACCACGACAATGATGAGGACCTGTGCGAACTCCAACTCCGCTGCAAGGAAGAAGAGGGATGATGAGTGATGGCCCTGGCGCCTGCATTCTTTCCAGGCTCTACCGACCGACGGACCATTCCGGCAGCTGCAGGCAGTTGCGACCCTGCAGATCCAGTCCCACAGAGGACGCAGAAACTATGACTTCACTTTGGGAAAGGAAGGAGAAAATGCAGTCATGAAGCTATGTGTGGCTGGGCCAGGCGTGACACCTGAGCTCTGCCTGCAGATGCTGTGGGTCAGTCAGTCACTCGCAGGGCTTTGGGATTGTAACTTTTTGAACAGATGGAGATTCTGGGAGGGTTCTGTCCCTAGTTGTCTGCTGCTCAGCTTGACAAAGTTCTAAGAGCTGGTCTTCGAACATAAAGCCTTAAGAAAATATTTTGCTGGCCCTACCAGGCCTCCAGGATTTGGGCTACAACTTTCCTCACCGACACAATGGAGTTCAGCCCGGTGAGTTCACCACAGACAGCTGCAAAATGGGCACCTGTGTACACTGGGCCAACCTCAGGACAGCTCAGACTGTCTCCACTCCCTTCCTGCCAGGTGTCAGGCGACACCCATCATCTATCTCTCCACTCCAGCAGAGTGGTGGAAGTCTCTCTGAACTGAGGCTTCACATCTAGAAAATGAATATCTCCCTGGTTGAGTAAAATTTCTCAGAGCTCAACTCACAGGAGCTGTGCATTAAAGAGAACATAAATATTAAGAGACCAACTTCAAGCTTCTGGTCCTGAGAGGATTTGCCTTTGTAAGTGACTTAGAAAACATATCTCCATCCAGCAGGCTCAGTGTCTGAGTGCTAAGGTTAAGGTAGGTCTCTAGCACTAACATTACAAATGACTTCTCACAGTCATTAATATGACATGCACGTGCATGTGCGTACACACACACACACACACACACACACACACGTCTGGAGTCCCACCCCTCCTTGGTTCGGCATTTCTGACCTGATATCGAGCTGAGTGTACATGCAGTGATTTTCATGAAACTGTGATCGTGAGTCTGTTGTGGCTTACAATGCATTCTCAGTGTCTAGCACACAGTAGTGACAGGTAGTTAAGTGGCTACAACAGTAAGAGAAAGACTCGGGAACATACTCAGGCCTGGAGAAGGTGCTCATACACACAGCTCCAAGCTGGCCTTCCCTGAGGACAGCAATTGCTGGCAAGACAGGCCTACACAGGCTGCAGAAGGCAATGAAAACACCTGCAGAGCCCTGAGGACCTGTGCCAGAGTCACAAATCCAAGAACGGATGCCTTTGTATGGAGCATGAAGGAGGCAGGAAGCTAGTTCTACTTAGGCCAAAGGAAGTGAGCTTTCTCTAGACATGAAGGCTGATCTTAAGGAACACCCTGTTTGACTAACTTCTTATTTCTTCAGAGGAATAGCAGAGTCATTACAAACTGCCCTCCAGGTTAAATTCTCCCCTAGCATTTGTCAGAGTCCCCTTTTGCAAGAAGATCATATTGCTGCTCAGATATGGCGGGGAAAGGAAGCAATGTCAGCAATAAGACAGTGCATGGACCTCAGTTCTTCCTAGATTATCTTCTCCTCGTGTAGAAGGCTATGGAGATGCAATGAAGATTATCAAGTCATGTGTTCATAATCCTACAGACCTTTCTGAATTAGGGAATTTCATCTGAAGAGGATTTCATTACTGAAAACTTAAACACTACAGAAGGAAACAGTCAAGTTCCACTGAGGCCCCACAGCCCCTCCTGCCTGTAACCACCTCATGCCTTTCTGGTGAGGAGTTGAATCACTGGTGTGCATGCCTACTAAACAAATACCTCCTCCTCCTCTTAATTATGACCAAAACATTGGGGGGAGGGCAAGGAGAGGGAAGGAGGAAATGAGAGAAAGAGATTGAGTATATGTATTGTAAGACCCGCGGAGGGCATGGACCCTCATGCCCCAACTCAGGAAAGGCAGCCCCTCCCCCAAATCACTCCTGAGAAGCGGTCTTGATGCAAAAGCATGAGGTCTTTTATATTCCAGTGTACTGGGGTCCACAGCCATACTCCACGTGGAGTAGAGGACTGGGAACTCTGGGTACAGGGTTTAGACAGATTTTATAGGGTTACAACAAAGCCCGCACATCATAAACCAATCATCTCATAGCATCCAGTACAGACCAATCAATTTGAACTATCCAAGCTCGCACTTAGCCCAGGAAGTCTGCTTTCGCTAGGGCTTCTGGATGGTGTGACAAGGCTCATTTTCTGTGTTCATTCACTCACAGGTGCTATCATAAACCACCCTGTCATAAACAGTCAAGAATGACCTTTTGCCTACTCACTGCTAGGGGGCAGAGTCTAGGGAGAGTTAGGCTAAATTTTTCATCCTTACAGTATAAATGTAGCTGCTGACACAAACTTGCCAGTAGACTATCAAGAAAGATTTCTTAAAAGTAAGATGTCATTTCCAAAGGACAACCATTTTCAGCTGGTGTGGTTTATGAGAGGCTACCTTGAGGTGTCTTGCAGAAGAGGGAATGTTATCTACACCCTATCCTCTCAATATCACTGGAGACTCAGATGTGTGTGTGGCTATGTGCCTGTGAGGACAGGTGCTCCTGGAGATCAGAAGAGTGCATTGGATACCCTGGAGCTGAAATGACAGGTAGCTGTGAGCTGCACAATGTGAGTGCTGAGGAATGGGACTTTGGGCCTCTACAAAAGCTTGGTCATTTGATGGCCAAGCCAACCTTCCAGCCCCCTGCCATTTACACCAGTTTAATAGGCAGAGCCTTGCAAAGTGATCAAACTGGGTACAAACCTGCTCAGCACTGGGGAGGACAAGGCAGGATGATGGTGAGCTGAAGCTAGCCTCCACTACTGTAGTCAGGCTTTGTACAAAACAGGCATTAAAAATATGTACCTTATTTATTTACTTTCATTTTGTATTGTATCTCCCCCGTTGCTGGCAATTTCTGATCTTTTCCCAGAGTTATGGTAATTTATGCTTACCTTTCTCATAATTAATTCATATTAGTCTATATGTAGGTTTCTTAATAACTTCTTAGTTATTTGTGAGAAAAATTTACATATTGTGGCTACAAGTTTTTGTTCCATGTGTTGCAAATATCTCCCCTTGCCTCTCATTTCTGTAAAATCTTCTCTGAATTTCTCCACAGAGGATATTTCTCACGGCATAAATGGATCACTCATGTCTTTCTTTGTGGCTAAGCTAACATACCAAAAGCATTTTTCCCCCTAAGAACTTCCACTCCATTCTTTCATGTTTAGATCTTTATTTGTGTTGTATTTTATAGTTTGGATTCAAGACAGCACAAGGCAATCTGAATCAAATGATCTAATGCATTACCTAAAAATCCAAGCAAGGGTGAGAAAGATCCCCATTGCATAAACAGTGCATAGCATGGCTCCCTTTAAACAGAGTCGCCACCATCCTTCTTTTCATGAGGGGGACTGATGCATCTGAATCTCCATCTCGAGCTCTCCTGGAAACCTGCCATGTATACTCACTGGAACACCCTGCCCTTGCCGAGCTGTTTGCAGCTATACAGCTGCCCTGAAGTTTCATGCATAGTAAGTGCAGAGCCCTGACAGGGACATCGATGGCACAAAAGCTTACCGGCAACATTAGGAATCACATATGGAGGTCAGAAGACAACTTGGAGTGGGGGGGGGGGCATCATTTCTCCACTCCAGGGAATCAAACTCAAGATACTCAGTCTTTTGTTGAGCCATCTTTCCTGCCCTAGCTCTGTAGGCTGTGGTGCTCTGCTCTGGGTACTATATGTAGAGACCCTGATGTGAAGGCCCGACAGGGTGGGGCTTCAAGAAGCAACACAGGGATCCCAACATGCACTGCCATGACTTGTTAAGATTCTGGCCTTAGAGATCAGACACCCTGGATTTCATTCTTGTTTGCTCAAAGAGCTGCCTCTCATGCCTGGGCTGAGTGGCTCAGGATCTCATCGGTTTACTGCCACCCCAGGGTGCCACTGGGTATTACTGTAAGGCTGATTTCCTTGGCCAATGCCCCACCCTATTTATGCGTCTAAAGCCCTTGAGTAAACCTGTTATCTCACCCTGCCCCATGTCTCAGCTTCCCGATAGTCTGGTACCTGTGATTCCTAATGTTGTCTTCTGACCTCCATGTGTGTATCGTGGCACATACATGCTGACATGGACATCCACATCATACATATGCATGCACATGCTCACATCAAATTAAGAAATTTTAAAGTCTATCTACATTTTGGACTTGGGGCAAAACAGTCAATGAGAACAGATCATTTTCTCATTTAAGTTGCAAGAAACTGAAAACAAAAATAAAAAACATGAAGAATAAAAACATCCAGCTCTAGGGGGATTCTCTATGTAAAAACCATTCAACAGAGGGTGGATGGTCCCCAGGGATAAGCAGATCCCAGGATCTGTGGAAAGGCCCTCCTGCTCAACCCTCCATCCCCCACATGTCTGTTCTTTCATTTATTTTAATTAGGAGACTGCCCCAAATCTGAACAGCTTGTTTTTATGTGGTGGGGGGGATGAAGAGCGCAAGGCAATACAGGGAGCCTGGGGGACACGTGAAAGATGTTTTCGTTTTGCTTTTGAGGGGTAGGTTAGGAAAGGAACATTAGGAAAAGAATGAATTTTGAGAGAAATATTAAGTTGGGAATACTTGTGAAGCCCACAGGAATAGCAGCATTTTAAAAGGGTAATTGGATGCATTTGAGGTTTCCAAATTTTCATGTAACTCACTATGGATTCTGAACACAGCCCACCAGTGAGGTTTCCTTGTTTTCAATAGTTCAGGATGTCAGCAGCAGTAAGGCAAAAAGCTGCCATGCAAGAGAAGGATTTGAGGCCAAACTGAGTACGCAAGCTCCTGTGCCAACCACACACCAGAAATTTTACGATAAATTTATAAAGCTTACAGGAAGGGATCACAGTGCCTCACTTTATTATTGTAAAACAGTGATGATGACGACGACGGTGATGATGGCATCTCTACCTTTATAGA